GAACAAAACCGACCCCTGGGGCACTCCACTCGATACTGGCTGCCAGCTAGAGCTCGAGCCATTGATCACTCTCATTGAGTCTGATGATCCAGCCATCTTTCTACCCACCCTACAGTCCATTCATCCAACCCATACTTCCTTCTAATTTCTGAATAGGCCTAGCCCCCAAATCTCTGGTGTGACAAACAGTCCTGTCTTCAGCAGTGGCAGGAGTGGATGCTTTAGAGAGACCCAGGGCCGAATGAACCCTTTAGTGGGCCCTAGGCAACCAGACTCGTGGGCCCCTACTTAATACTGTATATTTATATTACTTTTTTCACTCAATAATGATAATATGTAAAATAAGCACAGCTGGGCTTCTTCTTCACTTAGGGCCCTAGGCATGTGCTTAGTTTGCCTATGCGTTAATCCAGCCCTGGGGAGAGCATATGCACAAGTAACGTCTAGGATGTCATAGCTTCCCTGGCACCATCATGGATTTACAGTGTTCTGTTTAGTAGCTTTTAATGGATCTATCAGCCGTGAATTTCTCTAGTCCCTTTTTGAACCTGGCGATATCATCTGCTTCCGCACTCTCCTGGGATAATAAGTTCCTCAACTTAACTATGTGCTGCATAAAAAAGTACTTCCTATTGTTATTTTAAAACTCATTTTATGCTGATGTCAGTGGGTACCCTTGAGCTCCAATATTCAGGGACCCGGTGGATAACAGTTCCCTATTCACTTTGTCCATACCCTTCATAATTACGTGGACCTTTATTATCCCCACGCAGCTGCCTGCTTTCCAAACTGAAGAGCCCTAGCCTTTTTAATCTCTCCTGGTATAGCAGCTGTTCCTTCCCCCGGTCATCTTGGTTGTCCTTCCCTGTACTTTTTCTAATTCTGCTATATCCTTTCTGAGATGCGGAGACCAGAACTGCACACAGTAGTCAAGATGTGGGTGCAGTGTGGATTTGTATAGTGGCATGATGATATTTTCCGTTTTGTTTTCAATTCCCTTCTTAATGATGCCTAACATTTTATTAGTTTTTCTGGTCGCTGCTGCTCATTGAGCTGAGGTTTTAGAGCACTATCTACAATGACTCCAAGGTCTCTTTCCTGAGTCGTAACAGCTAGTTCAGAGCACAGCACTGTTCACATAAAATTGAGGTTATTTTCCCCATGTGCATTACCTTGCACTTGCCGACACTGAAGTTCATCTGCCACTGTTTTGCCCGCTCAGCCCGCTTCGTGAATTTTTCTGCAGCTCCTCTCTATCCGGTTGGGATCTGACTACCTGAAAGAGTTTAGTATTATCTGCAAACTTGGAGATTTCACTATGCACCCCGTTTCCAGGTCACTGAAATGAGAATGCCCAGCACAGTCCCCGTGGGACCCCACTTGTGACCGCAAGCTGTTCACTGGCAGTGATTTTGTGGGAAACAAGGCCCCCAATCTCAGTTTGCATGTCTAGATGCTACTATAAAATGAAAGAATACAAAGCAGGGGGGCTATGGGCTGCTGACAAAGCAGGTGAGCGTACGGGGAAGTTCCTATACAAGAAGTCTTGATTCAGTTATTGCCAGCTGCAATATCTGTATTCCTCAGCTAAGAGCAGAATTTTAACCAGGATTCAAACTTTCCTCCCTTTGCCCTTCCCTACTTTAGTCTTTTCCCACATGCTCCTCAAAGTCCTTTCTCCACAGGCACAGGTTCAACAGAGCCGGGTACAGACTTCTAGCCCATGAGGTCAATATGGTTGTGAGTGTCTGACCTTATATTTTCTCTAATTCCTTGCATTACAATACCCCTAGATAGTCTAACTGCAGTAGGGACACTAGTGTGCCTTGTGTATACCCTAAGTGCAAGAGTTAGAGATCATTCCTACCCAAAACAGGTCACAGTCTAAACAGACAAGACAGACAAACTGATGGGAAATGGAAAGGATAGGATATGGGCACTTGAAAAAATGCAGGTCTTATTATTGTGCCCGCAAGTTTGGCACTGTCCAACCAATAATGGAGATCCTTTCAATAGCAGGCTTCCATTAAGGATGCTCCATCTCTGCTCCAACAAAATTTGAATTTAGGAGCTACTAGAGGAAGTGTCCCAGATGTTCTCAGCTGTAGGGAAGGTGAGCATTGGATGCTAAATAAAGTGAATAATATCTCTGTGCAGAATGAGCTAGGGATGGGTGCCCAGGGAGACTGAGGGAAAGAAGGGAAGATTGAACAGGTAGTAAATTCTCAGAATTGCCCCAAAAAGCATATCTTCTAAGTAAATCCAATAGCGTGGGCTGTCTGTCTACATGTAATGTATTCCTTATTAATAATGTAGCTATGACAGAGGCTTTTATTGATCTTCAATATATAAATCTAACCTCCCTATGAATAAAAAATGTAATAAGATCTTTGAAATAGACTAAATAATAGCATGCGAGCCCTAAACGACAGGGATAAATTGCAGTGCTATGGAAATTGCTAATGGATGGCAGTCCAGGCCATTTGCCCATGAACCTGCTAGCGACAGTCAAAAGCAGGGCAATAATGCTAGACTGCAGCCTCTGAACTACTCCCTTGCAGTTAATTATTATGGATATCAGACACATCTTTGAAGATGGCCTGGATAATTTTCTGCTTAGTTCAAATTAAATCCCAAACAGGGTATGGCCTGAAAGTTTCTGGTGGGGCTTGAGGAAAGAATACCGTGTAAAGAGGGATTATTATAGTGTCATTTCACATACTATGTGGCACAGTACACACATGGTCATGCTTTAAGTTTTTATTAGAGTTGTGCAAAACTCACCAACTTGGATTACAGGATTTTATTATGAACTTGTTGTTTGCTGTGGTTCATCTCAGGGCTTGAATTCCAAAGAGAAAATCAGGTCTGAGAAAGGTACTTTGTGCCAAAAGCTTCTCTAACATACCATATTTACTTAAATACAAGGGGGGGAAGCCCCTTGGTCTTATATTTGCCTACAAGGAAACCTCACTAAATATATGGTCCAGCTTTGAACTGCTGCTAATATAAGCATGTGCTTAGTAATGGAAACCAACTGTGAAGTTTATTAAATGCAGCCAACACTTGCAGTGTCTACACGTGCACTTAAGTGTGGAGTAGACTAATTAGCTGTGGAGTACAGCATCTCTGTCTAAATGTGCAATGGTGTTAGGCCATAGTAAACTAATTAATGCCACAGTAAAATACTACTATCAGGGACTCTACTAAATGACACTGGGGTAATTTATTGTTGTTAAATGCATGTTTAATCTGACCACAGGTACACATTGTGCCTGGTCATCCCAGCCAGCCTGGGGCCAGACTCCTGCCTGCCACCTAGCCACACAGGTCCGCACTTTCAGCACCCTTGTGTCCCAGCCAGCCCCTTTACTGACCGATACTGGTACCCGGAGCCCAGGGCTAAGCAGCCCTGGCACAAACTGCTCTGCCCGGGCTCAAATTGCTGCTGTCCCAGGCACACATGTAGTCACTGCACTTAGGAGTAGTTTACTCTGACTCAGACTGCTCCAGAGTTTATTGCTTCGCATTAATTGCATGTGTAGATGCACTCACTGAGCATGACTGTAAAACACGTGGTCCATACTGAACAAACATGCCAACAGAAACCGACCGCAAGGATAGCCCCCTGAATAAAATGTACGGTAGTACCCACTGAGTGCAATTGTCCCTCAGTGCCAGCTCTTTTTCAAGTCATAGTGAGCCAATATATTACATACAATTCAACTTCCTTTTTACTCCCACACCTGAGCTGCAACTTTCTTTCCTATTTCCAATGATTCCTGTTCCTTCACCAGCCTTAAATGTCTGGCACACATCAACAAACGGGGTCCCAAACAATTCACCTCCCTCGGCCCCTCTCGCAACCTGTCACAGGTATGATTAATGTGGCCCTGCCCTCCATGAGATGGAGCCAGGGTATGCTGCATTATGTCTTATGTGCATAATAAATTTTTGGAGCAACCTAGGACTTGTGACAAGAACACCCAGCTCCAGTCATGAGCGGGGTGATAATTAGTACATGGATCCCTTGCAGCGGGTATCTGGAGTAAACGCACATACTGAGCAGTGCTGAGCCACCATGGGTTGAAATGCTGTTGATTGCTGGGGCCCAGCTCAGTGAGCTATATGCCAAAACTTGACCTTTTTGGCTTTGGAGTAATTTTGTACTGTTTGCTGGTAGTTGGGCCACTTATGGTTCTGGACTCGTGGATTTGGAATTAGTTTTTGGTAATTTGGCCTTGGATACAAATTAAAATAAATAAATAAATAAATAAATACCATGATCGAGACGGTGGTTTCCCAGGGTGAGGTCTGTCCCCTGCAAGTGTCCCCAAATGCAGGAAACTCAGTTGCACAATTTTGTGGCAAGGG